TTTCTGCCACTCAGAGAATTCCAGAATTTCCTCTCTTCAAATGTTAAATATCCTGTGTTGGGTCCCTCCCACCTGTCAAACGTTAATGGAGTTTGCGCGCAGGCGCGTGTCCACCACCAAGCTGTTGCTGTATTATCCGAGGGAAATTATCCTGGAAGGAAAACTAGGGTCCCTAGCAGTGTTAGGAAGTTATTTAAACATTTTGTTCCTATTCTTTAGGTTTGTAAGGCCAAAAGAAAAAGTGTTGCTTTTCATTCTTTTTTTAATTAATCTCTTTAGGTATAATTTATAGTCTTATTAACCTAAAGAGTGTGTATTTCTTTTCCATAATAGTATTACAGAAACTTATACTAGAAATAATTGTTTTTCCCAGATTAAATATTATCAGCTGCTGCTTAATCAAGTCTTATATTAAGGTTGGAAAGGTGCCTCTGACTGAATGACCCTGAATTTTTCCTGGGAGTCATTCTCCTCGTGGGATTGTTCTGGGACTTGAGGACAGCTTGGTTTCAGAAAAATCCTCCCATCCCTGGCCCCCAAACTTCCACTCTGTGCAGCCCATTCTGCTTGGACTTTTCCAGCAGTGAGATCTTGGCCAAATACTTGTCTTTGTCAGTTTGCCCAGATGTAAAAGTGAGTAAAACTATCTCCTGGATTCTTTCTAATGAAGAAAAAAAACTTCAGCTGCTGCTTTCTATATGTAGAATTAGGAGGTTGACCTGTGTAGTAATATATAAGACCCCTTCTAGTGTTAAAATTGTGAAATATTTATGTGTGTCTGTAGTTCTATGTATACTATACGTACATGTGTACATATATGTATAATTATAAACACACATACACGTTGGGGTTTTTTTCAAGGAATATGCAACATACATTATCTTAGGCTTTTGTTTTCATTTGTTTTACAAAATTTAATCATATCACACCTACTACTCTTTTATAACCTGCCTCTTTTCACCTAAAAGATTGTGAGCGCTCCCTAGGTCATTAAATCTTTTTCTGTTACCTGATTTGTAATGATTATGGGATATTCATCATTGTGATGCACCAAATCAATTCACCATTTTTCTATTTCGAACATTTGGGTTAAATCTCTCTAGTATTGTATTCACCCTCTTTCCCCAGCTAGGGTTCTAATTTGATTGAACAGCTGGGTGTAGACATCTGAGCTGTAAGAACGGTATATTTCTGTATGCAAATCAGATTGCTGCCTTAAGTAAACAACTTGTGAAAGCAAACTGTACCGAGTAAGTATAGTTCCCATGTTCCCTAACGAGTTCTCTCTGACTTACAGGCTTTGATTTTCCTCGTGGTTGGAATCATCTTCATGATTGGAAGCATGGCACTCATTATACTGGACTGGGTTTACAATCCCCCAAATTCCAAGCATCACTAACCCAAGGGAAAAATACTTTCTTTTCCCAGTGGAAATGGTTGCGAATTATGCTCCCAAAGATATTTGAGTTATCTTGATTGGAATGTTATTTGTAGGAAATAACAGGAAGATTCCAAAGATGTTTACCAGCAACATCACCAGCCACCTGCAGAAGAGGAAAATCTTTTTTTTTTTTTTTTGTCGTGAATGGCTGTTTATGTATTTAAAAATCTGTGGAGCCCATTTCTACCCAGGTTTTACTAGAGCAGTGTGAGATGGTGTATTTTTGCTGCTGCACCAGCAGAATAAGGGGAGCTGCACGTAATGGTCATCAGATAATATCCTCTTCCCACCTCTTCGCCCCCTCCCACCAAAATACCAAATTCCTGTATTCTCGGAACATCAAACAAAAATGCCCTGGTGGCAAAGCTATCACCACTCAATGCCTTCCCTCAGTCTTGCACCAAACACTCTGCGTCTATTTAGTAACAGAGGCAAAAGGCATTATCTTCTGAACTGTCCCTGTGAGGTACCTGAATGATCAGACACCAGGCTAGAACATCTTATTGTCAACACAAGGAATATTTTGCCCATCCTGTTTGTGACATCAAATTAGTGGCTTCTTCATTCAGTAGATCTTTTGTAAGTGTTAAGACATCTTACCAAACATAGAGAGGGGCTTGATTTAAATTATAGAGGAACAGCAAAAATAATGCTTATCGCTGACCTGCCTATTCGGGAAGCATTTGCTTACCCATGTGATTCCCAGTCCTCTTGTACTTTTGTCATTGAACAATGCTCTCCCTCTCGTCTTCCATTCTCATCCAGAATTTTTAGAAGACCACAGTTCATGTGGCGCTACACTACCCAGTATTGTTTGATACATTTTTATTTGATAAACATTCAGTGCAGGAAACTGTGATTGCTTATATGTTTCTGTATATAATTCTGTAGTCATCAGAATTTTAATGTATGGTACATTTGATTTTTTTTTTTACGTGTGTAGTTTTCTCTCTTTCACGGTCAAACATTTATATTACTGGGGGTGGGGGCAGGGAATTACCTTGACTGGCTCAGAAATCCATTTGTATGTATCTGTCTCTTGGGGATATCTTAAATTTGAAGCCTAAGTTATATGTAGTTCAGTAATGCTCTTCTTCTATGTTTACAATATTGAATGTAATTATCTACAAGAAAATAAGGTCCCTATTTGCAAATAATTACCACTACTAAGGTTGCGTCTTTAATTTAGCATGTTTAAAATAGAATTTAGTTCATTTCGCTTGCACAGGTGTTTGCTGACGTTCACTTGCCATTTAATACAATGTTGAGTGGTTCTCTCTAAAAATAAAAGTGCTAACACTACAAAAAGATGCAAACTATTATTCTTACTCACTTCTACAACATAGTTACCTGAAATGGATTTAAAAATTAGTACTCACTGCCTAGAATTTCTTTTTTTTTCCCCCCTAAATCAGTAGCAAGCATATTTGTGGTATATTTTATATTTTAGTGTAGCCAAGTATGAAATACAAGTTGCATATAAGTATGATAATATTAAATCACATTTCAATAGCTTTTTCTGGAATGTGCCTTAAGTAAATATATATTTGTTTTATGTATTATTTTCTAGAGGCAGAATACTGCAAAATGGTGCACTTTATTAAGGAAATTGAGCATTACTAGAAACTATCATAACTTCTGACTTACTATTACTGGAAAAAATTTGCCAAATAGCATTTTTAAGATATATTTCCATTTTCATTCACCCAAAGAGTGTATCAAAATAGAAAGTGGAAAAAGGTACCTTCTGAGTGTTAAAAAAAAAAATGTTTAACCTGAATGTATTTAAATGTAAATATCAAAGATTAATCCAAAAAATTGAAAAAAGTGTAAAAATCTGTATATATTTTGAATGCTTTACATTTGAAATGACTAACTTGAAAACATCAACATGTGTAATTGTATAAATATTCAAGAGCAATATTACAGTGCCAAATAATAAAGCACCATTTCTCCTCACAGCTATTTTCAGGATTAGAGTTCACATAGACTGCAGGGCAGACGTACATGTGGTATCTTGTACTGGTTAATTTAGCCCCATTTATAAACAGATGAAAATTTTTATTTTCTTATTTCATTTATAAGATGGTTCAATGTATTGGGAGGCTTTTTTTTATTATGGAAAGTGTATATTGGTATATAATAAATGAACTTTTCAAGTGACTATGATGTCATTTTCTTTCTATTGTTGAAGGCTGTGAATTATTTATACATGAAAAAAATTTTAAT